ATTTATACAATATAAAAAATGTCAACATTAAATATTGTGTCAATGTTTTGTCTCTTACATTACGGTAAGTAGGAACATCTTAATTATACCTTTATTTTAACACTAATAAGCAGTAACTAGCGGTTTGAGTGTACTAATAATAATAGCACGACAATGAAATCTAATAGATTCTCATTCTGTATCATTTTTTGCATATTTGCTTCTTAAATACTACAAATAACATTGCACTGAAAAACAATAAGGGCCGTAGATACAGAAAACCCACACATTTTTTGGGGAAGAAACCCTTTACTATGTTTTCAATAAAGAATAAAATGGGGATACGCATGTTATGGTATTTGAATTTCAATAGAAGTAGTCCAAGGTTCGTCATTAACACCGATCGCGTCAAAGCCCGCAAAAAACGCTTTTTTTTTACAAATTCATATGCGAAAATTTTTAGAAAAAGCATTGACAGATTAAGACACTGGTCCATATCGGATAAGTATATCGACAATAGAATATTCCTCTTTATAACCGATCACATATCGCTTGTTGAAACTATTTTGCATTATAACGTATATTTATTTCGCTCTTGGTCATCAAATACACAATTTCCTTCCGCACACTATAAAAGATTAGCGCGGATTTTCACATGTAATACCACTAGTGCTTGAATTATTTCCGGAAATTTGTTCGAGCTCACGAATGGCGAGGGTTAATTTTCGTAAAAATATTCGTGAGCAAGAACAAATTTGTAGAATAATTCAAGCACGTGTGGTATTCGGGAAGAAAATTTCACACCATATTGAACCTAAACGACTTATTTGAAGATTTGTTCTCTTTTTGAAAGTAGATCAAGATTACCTTTGGATGACATTTTACAGATTTGAATTGAAATTGCCGTTGACAGAAAGTTTATTGTGAGCGTGAACGAAATGATTAGATTCGGCCAAGAAAATAAGGAAGCTATTCGTAGCGAAATTCAGCACCTAACGCCCCAGAATACTAAGTAATCTAAGTGAAGTGTTTGGAAGCAGTTTACTGACTTTTGCTCTGAAAAAACTTATGTATTCGATAGGGAAAACATATCTGTGGAGGAATTGGCAATGATTATGGAAGATTATGGATTTAATATCTACCCAATTGTGTTTATTTCTGCTAGAATACTTTTACGAGGGTAAGTGACGTTTTATGTCAAAACGTTCTCTATGACGTCAAAAAATTTCCACTATAATTCGCTGTAGGTTACCCCTGCAGGCAAAAATTTCCGATAAATACCTCGGTTACCATGATAACGTGAGACGAAATCTGCATTTCATTGGTCGAAAATGGTGGGTGTGAAATTTTCCACTGAATTCCAATCTAGTGCCCTTACGCAACATTTGGATCAATTTAATCGTAGGAATCTGACAATTGGTATCGCAGTTGAAATGTGAAATGTCTCTTTAGAGGAAATTCAAAAGTATTGAAGGCCAAATTAGTGTACCTGATTGACCACTAATTAACTCTAACAATTGAGGTACTCGTGGGAGTCACATCTATACGCGGGAGTTTCACCAAAAATGCCTTTTCGGCATTGTTAATTTTGGCAGTTAACTTTGATAAGGAAGTTTGGATATTAGTTTCGGTGGTCTTTGCATTATTTATGTACCTTGACTTGGTACGTTTTCGACAAATTCAAAACAAGCTTGGGCGAAATTAGAAGACTTTTGGGGATCACGTTATCAAACAGCACAAGTCGCATTACTAATCTTCAAGACTAAGATTCCTAATTATGTGCTACATTATATACAGTGTGCACAAACGAACAGCAGATAATGTAATTAGTAGTATTTATAAGGATAGTTTCCAGGTTATTAACGAAGCCATATGTACAGCTGGGGAGTATGAAAACTTCAATGCGCTGTAAATATTTATTGATGTGTGCCAGGAGGCGAACATTCAAATCAAAATAGTTACCATTTAAAAACCTACGAGTGGGTATTGGAGAACATTGGTAAAGGCACACGAGATTCTAATGTTCTGCTGGGTTGGAGATGTGGTCCTGATAGTGGCATATAGTCCTCAACGCTGCTCAGCGATTACAAGAAGACGTACGATATTCTTAAAAATATTGTGAATAATGACAGAAAAAACATAACACAAGTATGTTGTATGGTAATACCAAGAGCGGATATAAAATACAAAAATTGTTTATTCTTTTTTTATTTATACAGAAAACTGTATTCCCTTATTATCCATGATGCGATCAAGGGATTCGATAAACAGATTATGATAAACTGTCAACTGGTAAAAATAGATAAGAGGGGTATGTTTCTCAATAAGCTCTTTATTTGAAAGCCGTTTATTTTTGGAAGTTTGTAACGCCCCAAATTATTTGGAGTAATTAATTCAATTGTAAAAGTAGAGAGTAGCTGAATAGACCACTTACAAATAGGTGTCGCTACAATCGGGTTTTGGTATTAAAACATAACCTCATTTAATTTTTATTTAAAATTCTTATTCAAACTGTGACAATGCCCTATAATTGCTCTGTTTATGGTTGTAATTCCACTACCAAAAATACAAAATATAAATTTCATTCGTTTCCCAAAGAGGAAAAACGAAAAAGAGTGTGGTTGATCGCCATAAAGTCAGGAAAAACTCCTTCGAAGCACTCAAAAATATGTGAAAAACATTTTCGTGAAGAAGACTATGAGGTTACTAGTTTACGTAGGATGTTCCTTTAAATTATAAAATCTATATTTCTGTGGTCGCAGGTCAATGGAAGATATTAAAGAAAAGTGCTACACCAACACTGCATTTACCAAAACGTACACATGATCGGGATGATAATACCTCTTCAGCACGCAGAAATCGATACATACTAAGACGAGAAAGAGCCAATACACCTAAAGATCAAGACGAAAAAATTGATGAAGGCATCACAACCGATGTTGCATTTACAGAAGTATCTACAGTTGAACCCACAGAAGATCCGGGAAAAGAAATGCATACTAAACAAATTCAAACGATTATTAGTTGCAAGCGGTCACAACTAATATCATGTGCCTATTTGAATGATACGCAGATGAGACACATGACAGGTTTTTCAAGAAGTTTATTTAATTTTTTTTGTGAACATTTTGGTCAACCATATACAAAATGTCACTATGCATTTTCTAATGAAGACGAGCTCTTAATTACACTTATTAAGTATAGGCTCAACATGTATTACACTACATTAGCAACACTATTCGATACAGATGTACGTGTAATAAAGAAGATTGTTAGAAATTGGACACGACATTTATATGTTAACTTAAAAAAGATACATTTTTGGAATTTAAAATCCCATTGCTCTGGACAGTATAATGTCATTTTAGATTGTACAGAAATGCGAATTGAGCGCAGCAGCAACCCTGTTATTCAGCAGGCTACATATTCAACCTATTATGGCACGAATACTTTTAAAATATTGGTTGCGGGCACAGAAAATGGTGAAATAGCTTTCGTTTCAGACGTTTATGGAGGTTCGATCACCGACCGCAAAATTTCAGAAGTATCAGGCCTGCTTGACCTTTTGAAGGGGGGTGATTATGTTTTAGCCGATAGAGGGTTTGATATATCAGACCTCTTAGAAGAGAGGCATGTACATTTAAATATCCCACCTTTCAAGAGGGCTAATCAGTTAACAGAAGAGGAGGTGTTTAAAACGCGAGCCATTGCAAATCGCAGAATTATTATAGAAAACTTAATCGGAGCAGCAAAAAAAAAACAAAATTTTAACAAATCGAATCCCACAACATTTGTGGAACATAGTAAATGAAATAATATACAACTGTTTCATGTTTGTTAATTTTAAGCCCTCTATTGTACATAGTAAATTAGAAAAAGAATGAATAACATATGCTTAACATGCTGACAAATACTTATATAAACTAATTATTTAACATTTGTAAAAAATAGTTAAAATATACATAGTGTAAGTTTGTAATTAAAGAGTTAATAAATTCATCATTTCTTTCCACTTCAATAACTATAAAACTACTATCAAAAGAACTATAAATAATAAAATTACATAATTGTACATCTAAAATAAACGTTCCCAATTGCACCTGGCCATAATATTTGTGATTGGGATTAATATGGAAAGATTTTTCTACCATCATATTTAATATAAGGCAGTGTAGTTATAAAGTCGTTAACACCAGAACTGGCACCTAAAACAGGACATTTAATCTCTATTGTCTTATAAATAATTTCAAAATGCATTTTTAGTTCGTTCGGACTGAAGGCAATCCATGGGAGAGATGGATTGATTACCAGTCCTGTACAATAAACTTTTCCGAATTGTCGTTCATATGCTTTCCTGGCAAAAGACTCATATTTGTTACCGTAATCGGTATAAATGTTACCATGAAATGTAGAATTGATTATATTGAATAATTTCTTCTTCCAGTTTGGATCCTTGTTTTTGCAGTACGTAAATAATTCATAACATCTACTTCCAGTTATACGTAGTTTTCTGTGATTTTTCCATATGTCATTGTTTTGTTCCACTGTTGTCATGGCTATATCCAGCGCAGTCTCAATAGAGACAGCAATATTTTCGCGAAAATACTGCATTTATTTTTATTTTATTTTGCCTTTATTTTTAAGTGGGCGGGGTTTCAGCCGAGGCTGCTCTACCAACCCAACCCACTATACATTTACAAATATCCATGCCCGAACCCGGATTCGAACCAGGGACCCTGTACCGCAGTCGAGCTTCCACTGAACTGCGCTACACGGGCCGGCGATTTTAGATTCACTCAAGGTAACTGGAGGCAATTTTATATTTAAATTACAACTAAGCCTTTGTTGTAATGCCGCACGAAGTAGATCACCATCATCTGTGTCAGCTTTTGATGACTGCACTTCTTCTTGTGATACAACCGTCGGTACATCCAGCACGCACACACCCTCACACACACAGATGTGTGTGTATGTATGTATATATATATATATATATATATATATATTTATTTTTTTTTTTTTTATTTTCCAGAGTTTATGAGCGCACAATTTATATTAGTATTAATGAGACAATTCACTAATGCATCGGTTGCTGCCTGATCTATAATGAAATCATTTCTGTCTTGCTCAGTGATGTCAAATATTGACATTACATCTACACATCTGCCCTCACTTGGTTTATTCCAACACATTTGTTGGGAAGTGCAAGAAACGTACTCTTGATCATTTCCTAAAATTAAACGGTTAAACAGTTGCGTCATAAATCACACACACTTACCTGTAACAGAAAAATGTTCTAAAGAAAAACAAAGTGCACCAATATGTTTGCATGCTGCGGACCAACCTATTCCAGCAGGGGATGAACAATTGGCTTGTGTGATTTCATGCGACGATTGCAATTTTGTAATTTTAATTTTAATCTTGTATTCCGAAGATTTCTTCTGTTCCGCACAACAGCTTGCTTGAATGTATATATTGCTGCCACTGCCATCAATGTACATTTTGCAATATTTAATGAATAACTGCATGGCCAATATACGACCCCTATCGAATCCCTTGTTGGCTTTACGATCCAAAAACCATTTTCGAATCGCTTTATAATTCACGACTTTGTTACCCGTATAGTCTTTCAAGGGCTTAAATAAAGCATCATTGGGATATTCCAAATGCGGAACTTTTAACACCTTTACATCAAACAGAGATTTATTTAAGTTTTCCTCTTTCCAAATACGTAACCTAAAATGGTCCATAGGTTAGAATTAGTACAACTCATTTATTCAAACATAAGTAAATACTTACCGTTTTTCTAATTGTTGCTTATTGCCAGTAGTTTTAGCTCCTAATTCCTTTAGCGCACATTTTAACTCTTTGTAACGGTTTAAATTCGCTTGCACCGTTCAATTCTGCTACGCCTATGTTTCTTGGGGCAATTTTCTTGGGAGCGCCACTGTTTTATGTGACATTGAGCGTTTTGGGTTGCTTTGCGCATGAGTATTATCTCCCCGATAAATTTAACGGTCGGCGATACCTTCCTTCTTGTTCGAATGCCTTGAATAGCAACAGGTTGTAAATTTTTGTCGTTAAAATTCTTCATGGATTTAAGTTAATTAAGTATCGCTGATGGCGGATTTCTGAGTCCATGGAATACGAATGAGTTGGGATTTGGTGGAGACCATTTAGCCCATTAACCTTTATGGGATATGTTAATTTTTTCGACGTAAGTACCATCTCTGTCGTGTACCTATTGTTCACATATGACGTTCTTTTAGATTGACACCTGTTGTACACTTCAATCAATTCCGATAGCTAACGATCAAGGCCATCTTGTTATTGTAAACTATAAAAGAAACCCTCTTTTTCATTGAGGTATGAATAAAAAACAGGGAAGGAATTCAAATTAATACTGGCATTCTTTTAGGGTTCTTTTTTTGGGTGTGAGTTTCATTCTGCCCTATACTGCATGTGATATTTCAGGGATTCTTTACTCACTAGTCATAGATTTATACAGATTCATATTTGCTTGTTTTGTGTCGTGTGTGGTATTATTCTTAGTATTATTTATCTAATGTGTATTGGTTTGCGGGTGGCTATAGAGCCAGCTATATTTATATAGATTTATTAATTATACCTATACCAAAGGGTATTTGCCTCCAGTGTTTAGTAATTTTATTCCATCCTACGGAGTACTGTGCTACCCTACGGTGGCTCACCCTTCCTTGTTCAGGTTGAGCCTACAATTCTATCGTTTAGAGAACAAGGTGGCGCCCTTTCACCTGGTAAGTCAAATCGTTACGGAACGCCCTACCCTGAGCATTAATATTTTGTGTGGTTTATCCAGCCGCTAGTCGAGGTATCCCCTTTATTTAACGTGGGTTTTGTATAAAATCAGCGCCACACAAACTTATCGTTAGATCTTGTATACTCATATTTCTTATTCTTTACTCACACTAATACGAAAATACACAGAGATCAGCTGATCCAATACCAAAGTGCGACAACAACCGCCTAGCGGTAGAATTCAGAACTAAAAGAGTGTAAGTGGTCTATTAAAAAAAACCGATTTCGGTTCTTGGAATAAATACTGCGAACGTCTTATCTAAATAAACAGGAAAGCGATAAACTATATTTTACAAAGCGTAATTCAGTCACACCCGTCGTGAATGAGAATGGAACAAAAAACCGCTTATTTAAAAAAAATACATTGTAAAGTTACCACGTTAAGACGGGTCATTGCGACGATATATTTTGCGGTCTCAGGAAAAAATTAGCCTGGGAAATATGCTCGAGGAGACGATTGATAGTTGTCAGTTAGTAAGGTTGGTTGCTAGTTGGCTAATCAAAATTTGTGTAACACGTCACTTCCCTTCTATACAGAAGGGGAATTGGGAATTACCATTTGAAAAATTTGGGACTAAAAACGGAAAAACTTTCATTTAAAGGGTTGATAGTGCACTTAAATGATTTTGTGTATTTGAAGGCACAATAGACGTGACTTTGTGATTGCAAGATTACTCCCAGATATGCCTATTGTCCTTTTAAAAGGACGCAGTACAGGTTGTTACAAATTACTGAATTTCGGAATTGTGGGTAGTACTATGCAGATGGCGTGATGACGTAAGACAGTTGTTGGAGCTACTGATCATTGCGTTGGCAAAATAAATCCTTGTTTTCTTAGTGTAATCAGCTCTGATAATCATGTGTTCTTTTGATATGACGCATGCCCGGAGTCTGAACTTGGAAAGGTAAGTAATATTTTCGTTAGCTAGTTTTTTCTACCGTCAAATTCTGATAATAGAGTTAGAAAAGCATGGCAATTCTATGTTTATAAGGTGTAACCTCTAAATTACTACTGGTTTATTTCTATATAGCCTCAAAGATGACCGTCCTTTTTAAAGGACAATAGGTACATAGACTAACACTGTATTTTATTGTAGGGGTTTTTTACTCCTCATGAACTTTTGGCGGCATTTGAGGAAGAAGGCCCCGCCAATGATAACCAGGAAGTAAATATAACCATAATGCCCCCTATCAACGCTAATGATGACCGGACCGACGAAGATTCTGGTGACGAAAACTGTGTGCCTATAAATAACCTACCGGGAAGTCAACTAATGGCAGAAGCTGAAATAAACAATGTATCGTCCCATAATGATGATGATGATGAGGAGGATAATATACCCCTTAGAATTATACAATTGGGAAAATACTGACTTAACGTTACCACAAGTAGTGTGGCCTGTTATTTCTACTGCTGTAAATAAGAATTCCCCAATCGAGTTATTGTATTATTTCATGGATCAAGAAGTGGTGGATATGTTTGTGAGCAAAAGCAATATGTATGCAGCTAAACGCAATAAAACTGTGAATATCACTGAAGGTAAAATGAGATCATTTTTTGGTATACTTCTTCTAAGTGGTTATGTTCCTTTGCCAAGACGACGATTAATAAATTTGAAAAAATTAAAGTGGGATATTGAACTGCTTCAATGCCAACGACGAGTAAAGAAGTTAAATTTAAAATGAGTTATGTGCCGGAGGAAATTTCGATTATGGAGTTCTCGGGCTGGAAGACCTTCTGTATAGAATTTTTCCATAGAGACTAAGAAGCTATAATTGAATAAGTTTTGCAAATAATTACTCGCTAAACAAAAATTTGTTACAATTTTTGTAAAGATGCATCCAATAAACTTTGTTTGAATGCACCTAATTTACTTATACTAGTTCAAATCCAATAACTAAAACCGCCTACAAAGTGAATACTAAAAAGATTAAGTAGTTTTATCAACCTTAATTTAGTTTTTTTATTTATTTTAGTTCCCGAACACGAAGGAGTGGCGTACGATAGCAATAGGCTTTAAAAAAAATTGGACTTTCCTAACTGTGGGGGAGCGTTAGACGGAAAGCATATTCGGATACAACCTCCACGGAAGTCTGGAGCACTCTACTACAATTATAAAGGATTCAACAGTATCGTTCTCATGGCACTCGTTGATTCTAACTATGAATTCGTATTTGTTGATGTTGGTAAAACCGGAAGGTGGTCCAACGGCGGTGTGGTAGAACAGACAGATTTTCACAGAAAGTTGGTATCAAAGTTACACCTTCCGAGTAACGACGAAACTGTGAAAAATTTAAACTATGTGTTTCTCGGTGACGAAGTTTTTGCATTAGGCGTAAATTTTTTGAATCCATACGCACAAAAATAAGTTGATTACAGCAAGCGGGTATTTAATTATAGGTTATCGCGTGCTCGTAACGTTGTAGAAAATGCTTTTGGGATTATTACCAGTCGTTTTGGAGTGCTGCAAAAGAGTATTAACATGCAACACGAAAATATTTGCTATTTTGTGTTGGCTATATGTGTTTTGCATAATTTTCTCCGTCGTAGAAGTAGCACGCCTACAATGGTTGACCAACAAGATACTACGCATGGCATTGTGCAAGCTGGAGAGTGGCGTAACACTTTGCAACTAGAAGGATTACAGCAAATCACTCCAAGAAATATTCCCTTAGCACCCAAGGAAAACCGCGATAAATACAAAGCCTATTTTAACGCGTTAGATGGAGCAGTAGAGTTTCAAGACCGCATGATTCGTGTAGGATGTGCCTGAGTTACGATCTACTACGCACATGTAAATGTTTTTTACACAATAAAAAGCTTACCTCCTCTGTTGGTGTATCTGTGATTATGCCTTCCTCGTCCTCACCTCCACCATTTTCTTCAAATTCATCCTGAATGTTGCTTATACTCGTACTAGGAGGTTTCGCTGTCGAGCTTAAAGAGCAGCAAGTCATAGTACCATAACGACTGAGTGTACACTTCGTCTCCTCCTTTGCCACTACGTTCTTTCATCTTCTTGAACTCCTTCCGAAAAGACCCGCGGATGCTTTGTATTTTTTTGGACACAAAGTCGCGATGTGCCTCCGCAAAAGCAGGTTTACAATATTTGATCAATTTGTCATACGCATTATTTCTCAGATTTTTATTTAAATAGTCCTTACTTTTCACCCGCCAAAGACACGGGTTAGCTTTGTATATGTTGATAAATTGTGCAATATCCATTTCAATGGACGCCTTGAACTACAGGCGAATTTTTTATTGCGTATGCGCAGAATGTACGGAAATGGTGTACATATGACAACGAAACGATATGTGTGCGCATTTCTTTGTTTTACATCACCTAAAATTACTATGGTGAGGAGGCGGTAAAGGAACTCAAACCTAAAAAAGCTGCTGGACCGGATGGAATTCCACCGTATATTTTTAAAGGTTGTAAAGACATCCTGGTATCCGCATTAACAACACTGTATAACTTGTGCTTAAAATTTGGTAAATTTCCAGATATTTGGAAAATTACAAAGGTATGCCCAATCCATAAATTTGGATCCAAAAATGACATTAAAAACAATCGGCCAGTCGCAATTCTATCCGCTCCGGCAAACATTTTTGAGAAAGTAATTCATAAGCGACTGTATACTCACGTAAAAATGCACATCTCTGAACAGCAACATGGCTTTCTTAAAAAAAAGTCAACCATATCGAATTTAATAGAGTTCACACATAATGCTTCAAGAGCTCTACATGATAAAATTCAATATGATACGATTTATACAGACTTTTCTAAGGCTTTCGACAGTGTAAATCATGATGTGTTACTGAGAAAGTTGTGTAGGTTTGGGTTCTCTGACGCTTTAATACAATTTTTTGCGTCCTACCTTTCACATCGCAAACAATTTGTTAACTTCAAATCGTCTACATCCAGTGTATTCAATGCACCCTCAGGAGTACCGCAAGGGTCAAATTTAGGACCGTTGTTATTTGTATTATTAATTAATGATTTGGTTGATGTAGTAAAGCATGCGAATGTCTTGTTGTTCGCAGATGATCTAAAATTAAGCTATGAAATCAGAAGCGTCTTGGATTGTAAAAAATTGCAGAGAGACCTTGATTCTATACTTCAGTGGAGTAGCGATAATGAACTACCCTTTAATGTGGCAAAATGTAAATGTTTGCGTTTTTCTAGGAAAGCACAAAACATTGTATTCGAATACA